CAGCCGCTGACTGATAACGACACTTTAATTTCTGAAATTTTCGGGGAGTACCCAAACATCGTCGAGCTCAATGCTCAATTTCAAAAAGCCACCAATGGATTTCATTTAAGGTGCGTATAATCCAAATTTGTAGCATTATAATTCGTCCTCATTTCGGTAAATTCAGCTCATGTGGGCGATCGGCAATGAATTGAAAAAGCAAAATGGTTTCTTGTCATTTCTTTTAACGCTTTTATCGTTTAAATTCCGACAGTGTCCTTTTTGCATTTCCTAGCCCATTGAAGGCCTATACATTGCTGGGTATTTCTGCGTTTTCTTGTCACTCGTATTTGAGACTCCATCCGGAAAAGATGGCTGTCAGTGCTTGAGTTCAGAGAGGACGAGACAATCCTTCGAAGGAGAACAATTCAATTATTATGAATGACCAAAAAAACACCGATTTTGCTTTTTCAGTACAAATATAACGCCGATCACCACATGAGACGAGTTTACTGAGTTAGACGAATCGGAATGATACAATTTGAATTATACTGCAGCATAAAATCCAGCAGTGGCTTGAGAATGAGCTTTATTCACGTGTCGGCCATATTGAATTGAGTAGTTGAGGTAGTCTGTATGGTACGGTGTGACCTTTGAGCCTAGAAATATGTAAAGGTCACATAAATATGTAAATATGGAAATATGTAGATATAAATATGAATTAATGGGGTTATGAAATTCCGGGCACAGTTTGAACCTAATGAATGGATGGGATGAATAGGGAATAGGTGTGGGTATAAGGAACGGGTACAGTTTGACCAATTCTATGGGAAAGATTGCATAAGGTATGGAAAAAAATATATACATATTTTTATGGTACATTTGGATCTTAGCCCGATATGAGTTTCATACGTTAGTCCCTGTGAACGACCAGCTGGTCGGATCTTTAATCCCCCAACAATAGACGGGAGAGGGCGCGTGCCACGTCAGCGCACTAGTATTGTTACGAAGTTAATCCGATCGATACAAAAAGTAATTGGATTTCCGAATGCTCGACAGCAGAAAGCAGCGATAGATGGCAAAATGAATGTTGGCGTTGATCAGACTGAAACGAGTACGATTGTCTATTTGAAGAATTATTTTAAAGTCATTTTTATTGGGTTTATGGGTATCGGCACGTTGCGTTTTCCAAGTTATAAACAAACACTCACCGCAGCATACTTGCAGGGTACAGCCTGTGTCGGCCATGGGGGTATATGATAAATCCACGATCCATAATCCATGCGTCTGTACGGAGACCGGTGGTCGATCACCCCTCGATGATCGCACCGATCCTGGAGCAAATAAATAACTCCGTCCGTGCGCCTATATTCCTCTTGTTAATCGATACAATACAATGCACTCTTCTACACTGCCACCAGAATCATCCAAGTAAAAATATATGTCTGTGCGCGGTGATCGTAGAAAAGGGAAGGTTTTGGCATCCCAGAGCAAATGCTAGTATACATGCACACTACTGTATACACGCCGTCCGATCAGATAGCGCTCAAGTTTTCTTAATCCGTGACGGCTAAATTATCGATTAGGCTCTATAGTCAGCAGAGGCGCGTACAATAAGGAACGATTCAGTGTTTAAAGCCATAACAAAACGTGCGGGCATGTGGTTTTTAAAGGGAACTACGGCCTGGAAAGTACCCGATTGAGTGTATCGGAATAACACAATCATCATTGTGCATTTTGTAATATTTCGTACTAGAACGACCCCAAAACCAAGCAAAAGCCTATCCATAGTTAAAAATTCAGTCGTAACGTGGTAAAAATGGTGCCCCTTTAACGCTGTCTGTATGGAATGCACCGAACCCTAGTTGTACCTCCGTGCCGGATTTGTTTACAAAATCGAGGATGACTGGGTTTTATCTACGACCATTTTACGGGGGTTATTTAGAGGCGTGTTCAAGCAATAATTTTATGACTGAGAGTAAGCTTTTCCAATTGATAAGACACCACAAACAAAGAAAAATACAACTACAGAAAGTACATACGATATGACATTATAGCTTTATTGACTTTATTATTGCTTTATTAAATCTCTAGTGTTTTTTATTTGTCTGTCCCAATGTATTTCTTCGCAATTATATCGTCATTGTAATGTGACTAGTCTTTAATCGTCACTGTCTTCCTCGCTGACGTCTTCTTCATCTTGATGGAACAATCCGTCAAATTTCATCTGGTGTTTAGGCATAATTCTGCCGAGAGCCTTTTGTACGCTAATGCCCTTATATATTTTTCCTTCGAGATTGTCCACAATATCTTGATGAGTATCGTTATCTTTCAGATGTAGGTAGCTTGACAGAAAATCCCTGTACTTGTCAAAAAAGATTTGCTTGACTGCCCAGAGGGTCTTCCTATCGGCCTTTTCCTTGGCCTGATCTTCACCCATACCCTCGTTGATGTACTTTTCATGTTTTTCGCTCCACATTTCACGAGTCGCTTCTTTGGACTCTTCCAACCAGTCTTGGAAAGTAGCATTGTCTTCTAATTCAGAACTAGACTCATCTCCATCGTCATCTTCTACCTCCGAGTCCGTTTCCGAGCCCGATTCATCCACGTCAGGATGATCAGATTGAATAACCTCAATTTCAGAATCATCGTTAACCCCATTCATTTCAGATTCATCTTCAGCATGAGCGTTTTCGGTATGTCGCCAGAGATTATATCTCCGTCCAAAGCTTTTATCACACTGGTTACAAGCATGGGGTTTGACTGCAGAAAAAGTATTCATGTTGAAGTTATAAAGGCTGATTCACGAATGACAAGAAACGGATGAATTGGTTTAATATATATTGTGCCGATACCTGTCTGTTTGAGCTCATTTCCACATTCCCCCCTGCGCATGCTCTCTGCGTGCCTGTGCACTCTTAATTCCCTGCTCATCCTACTCTTTACCCTGCTCATCCTGCTCTTTACCCTGCTCATCCTGCTCTTTACCCTGCTCATCCTGCTCTTTACCTCTGCTCATCCTGCTCTTTACCCTGCTCATCCTGCTCTTTACCCTGCTCATCCTGCTCTTTACCCTGCTCATCCTGCTCTTTACCCTGCTCATCCTGCTCTTTACCCTGCTCATCCTGCTCTTTACCCTGCTCATCCTGCTCTTTACCCTGCTCATCCTGCTCTTTACCCTGCTCATCCTGCTCTTTACCCTGCTCATCCTGCTCTTTACCCTGCTCATCCTGCTCTTTACCCTGCTCATCCTGCTCTTTACCCTGCTCATCCTGCTCTTTACCCTGCTCATCCTGCTCTTTACCCTGCTCATCCTGCTCTTTACCCTGCTCATCCTGCTCTTTACCCTGCTCATCCTGCTCTTTACCCTGCTCATCCTGCTCTTTACCCTGCTCATCCTGCTCTTTACCCTGCTCATCCTGCTCTTACCCTGCTCATCCTGCTCTTTTCCCTGCTCATCCTGCTCTTTTCCCTGCTCATCCTGCTCTTTACCCTGCTCATCCTGCTCTTTTCCCTGCTCATCCTACTCTATGCCGTAGAGTGAGCAGGGTAAAGAGCAGGATGAGCAGGGTAAAGAGCAGGATGAGCAGGGTAAAGAGCAGGATGAGCAGGGAAAGAGCAGGATGAGCAGGGTAAAGAGCAGGATGAGCAGGATAAAGAGCAGGATGAGCAGGGTAAAGAGCAGGATGAGCAGGGTAAAGAGCAGGATGAGCAGGGTAAAGAGCAGGATGAGCAGGAAAAAGAGTAGGATGAGCAGGGAATTAAGAGTGCACAGGCACGCAGAGAGCATGCGCAGGGGGGAATGTGGAAATGAGCTCAAACAGACAGGTATCGGCACAATATATATTAAACCAATTCATCCGTTTCTTGTCATTCGTGAATCAGCCTTTATAA